GATCGCGATGGAAAAGCACCACAAGCGATAGGGTAGAGTGCCACCGCAGCTCCGAAAGCGTACCCCTGGAGGCCAACCCCACCCTGCTTTCCGCGCTGAGCTGCGAGACGTACGCCATTCTCAACGCCCCCTGAATCCCCGCCGGAAGCCGCGCGGCCCAACGATCGAGCAAAGGAACCAGCCGCTTCTCCTCCAGCGTGAGGAGGGCGCCCTCGCGCTCGGTAGGGAAGTGGGGAAAGTGAAACCCCCCCTCTATCGGTCCCCCCATCGGCACCCCTTCCGTCGGTGGGGTATAAACCAGCTCCAGCTCCTGCAAGGCGTGCGGCTTTATAGGGAGGGAAATCGGCTCAAGAAAATGCACCATCGGCGCGGCGGGAAGGATTGGAGAGGAAGGACCCGGCGAAGCCGCCTCGGAGATAGGGTGAAGAATTCGGCGGAGGGCCTCCGCTTTGAAATCCGCGGAGTTCCCCGCGCCGGCGTCCTCCCAAGGGTGGTCCGCGCAGATCCCTCCCGCCGCCGGCATTCCGGGCAGCTGTGGATGAGAAGAACGATGCGGGCGTGGTCGTCGATCAGGTGGTTTGACGCCACGGAAGTTGGATCGCCCGGGAGGTAACGAAGGTGCCTTGCTGACGATATGGCGGTACGAACTCAAGGAAGTCTGGAGCATCATACCTGAGGTAACGCCAGGTAAAACCACGTGGGAGTTGTTTGCTACAAAATAGCCCTTTGGGTTGAATTGATGTGTGGTTGGTGAGGAATTCAGCTTCACCAGTCTCGGTTGAGCGACTTTGATCGGCGACAGAATGCCTTGACATCCAGTAGACCTCATGTGATTCCACAAAAATGACGGCGAAACCGCTACGATGGCAGTTACTACCGCTATGCCAAAGACCCTCAATCTTCCCGCTTATGATTGTAAAAGACGGCGTCTTCTAGGTTGTTAAAATTCAAAGGTTAGTCCAAAATTCAGGAAAAAAAAATAACATTAAGGAGAAATAAAGGGGAAAAAATAACATAGAAAATAATAATGACTATTTCCATTAATAATAATAGAACCATATCGTATAATATATTAATTGCGATAGATATAAGAAAATGAGCAAAAAAAAATACAATCAGTTATCTATTTAGTTACCTGCATTCAACAACGAAAAGGAATATACTAAAAAAAATGCGTACTCTAAATTAAAAAATCTCACAATATGAGCACTTTCTCCCGCATCTTCCTTTTCCTTTAAATCTATAAGGAAATGCGAAACAAAAATAATGCCACTTGATAATACGAAATGTGTCTATTTTCTATTTAAACGATAGTGAATATTAATATGTATTTGTCTTTTGCAACAAGTTTATATATCTATTCGTCATATTTATTTCCCTTTCCTTGAGGACCTGTAAAAAAGGTGAAGAGAAGCAGTACTTATGCTGATGAGGACGTAGAGGACCCTTCAAAGCTATCATCGCTGTAAGCAGAACTCTTCTTCAATTCCCCGGAAGTCGCCTCTCCCACATTGGGGCTATCTGCAGCGACAGGACTTGATGGAGCCACGCTACTATTGGATTTATAGCTGTTCTTTGTGGATAAAGACGATACCGAAGAAGATGAAGAAGAACGAGAGCTTTTGGATGAGCTACGTGTGTCGTGATCCTTGGCATTCGGTGCCGGTTCTGCCACATCCTTTTCAGTCTTATCAATTCGATCTACGGGTGTGGGTTCGACTCTTTCATCGGATATGGGCATTACAGTCTCTATACCAGGTTCATCCACGTTTTGCTTCCCTCCGCTGTCATTATCCATAGGTCTTGTGATTATAGAGCAAATTGTTCCAGCATCTAAACCTGATTCCTTCAGCATGTTCAATATCTCCTTCTCAGCTTCCACTCTAGCCTTGGCTACGTTGTTGAGCCGGGTGGGCTCCACAAAGATGGGCGGTATCTGCGCTACACGTTCTTTCATTTCCATCAGTCGCTCCTGTGCTACCTTTTCATTTTCCTTCATAATAGTACGCAGTTTCTTTAACTTAGAGCGAATCGTAATCTCTTTTTCGGTATGCGGATCGCCAATATATTGCGCAAGGCGCTTAGATACCTCTCGGCGACGCTTGGTAATCTCCTTCAAATACGCTTGTTCTTCTTCGGGAACAAAGTCTTTATCCCTGATATTCTTTAAATATTTAGAGTAGACCATCTCCGTGCGCAAGGCATGGGCACGTGTACCTTTTGGCACCGCCTTAGTCTGAGCTCCACTAGTTGAGTCATCACCATTCTTTTCTTGCTTTCCCTCGTTGTTCTGGTGCTTCGCATGACGAATGGGCCGTGAAGATGCTAGGGGTGTGCGTTTGGTGACCGGCTGAGAAACCGACCTTGTTGGACGTTTACCACAAATAACAGCGTCCTTTGCGCTGGGGGTCAAGGAGAAGGGCTGAGGGACGGTTACGGGCGGCTTCTTCTTGCGCAAGGCGGACTCCTCGGAGAAGTCGCGTGCCCAGATCTTGTGGAATTGAGGGACTCCCGGACGGATCTTGGGGTGAAAAGTTAAGTTCGGATTGTACAGTGTGGGGCTGCTCGCGAGGAGCGGAGATTTCTCCGAAGTGGTTGCCGCACTTTCCTTCACAGGGGCCACCTGAGTCGGTGTCGGGCCCGTCTCGACCGCTAGAGAACGCCCAACACCAAACCATCCTTCTTGAGGCTCGGCGAACAGTTTAACAGGGGTCGGGCTGGATAACAGTGGGATGACCTTACGCCTGTGCTCGTCTACCTCTTTTTTCAGCTCCACCGCAAGCTGCTTAATGCGTTCCTTGCGCACCTGTTCGTGCTCCTTGATCGCGGGCCAAAACCTCATGCGCACCTCCAGCGCGATATCTTCAGGCTGGGTGATGAACGGAACTCGTCTTGGACCATCATTACCGTCCGCGCTTTGTGCACGTTTCGCCCGCAGATTCCCATCAGTTTTGCGATAGGGGCCCAGAATCTCCTCCCTGGCCTGCCGCAACTCCAAGGCGGAGAGTTGAATAAAGTCGGACTTTTCACGCTCCCGTTCAGCCCGCTCTCTTGCGAGCCGTCCGACCGCTAACTTCCGTTCCCGCCATTCCTGTACCATGAGCTCGTATTTGTTCATAAAGGTCGTGGGTGGGACAGGGTTGGCCTGAAAGGATGTGTGCAACAGCCTGTCCAGCTCCTCCTCCTTCTGTTGGCGTGCTTCAAGCATGCGACGGTCATGAATTCGGGGGGGGTGATGTAGCTCACGGGAGAGAAAGGAAAATGGCTGTGCCTTTAAATTCTTTTCCCGTCGCTTCTGATAGTCCGGGTAGTCGCTTATCGCACTAAAGTACTTTTGAAGGGCTCGCCTCGCACTGCGTTGGTGCTTATGTTTGAGATGTTGCAGCTCTTGAAGACGGTCGTGAATAAGCATGTTTTTGGTATCGGAGAATTGAGCAGCACGTGTTTGCGGGCTTAAAAGCGGATCTTTTTTTTCCCCTTCGGTGCTGTCGTTCGGAGCGATCTCATGGACCTGACGATAATCACCAAAATCCTCACAATGTTCTATAGCAGTCGTTCCATCATCCTGCAACTGAGTTTCAAGCACCAATTGTTTCTCTTTGAGCTGTTCAATTTGCTGCGATAATAAAACATCCATAGATTACGAATCCAAATTAATAGAAAAAAAGCAGTAACGAAAAATTTCGTGGAACTCTAAATTAAATAAGGAATTATATATAGAGGAAACATAGGAAGATCTCGTTATCATCATATAAAGGCAGAAAAGGACATAGGATAACGTTATACATGCGATAGACTACACAAGAAAATAGGTCACGATTGACTAAGAATAATATTACTCATTAATTATATTCATGTAGCAGAATATTATCATCTCAAAAGTGGTAATGCCTTATAAAAACGCTGAAATCGTTTCCACAGGGGGTTCAAATTGGCATTCATGCGCACTGAAGGAAACCGTGTGCTTAATAACATATACAGAAAACTAAAGGTTAAGTACAATAACGGTGAAAGGAGTCAAACTAACGCCCCTATTGCACTAGTCAAATGGACTGATGCTTGGTTCATATGACAATTAAAAATAGGGCTCTATATGTGACTAAATATAAAAAGAGATCTCATGATACCTATAGAGAATATGATAAAACTATGCAAAAATGAGAAAAGGATAAAGGTAGCTTCTAAAGGATCTATCGCGTAATAATCTTCTCAAGTGACAACCATTTTTTTTCCTTTTAGGGCTTCCATATGTTCCTCTTTTAAGATTGCTTACGAATCATTGAAGATGACAAAAAGACGAAACTAGTGTTAATTATCAATGCAGCTAACAGCGTTTGCACATTAAAAAAAAAAAGGAACAACCCTATAGCATTTGAGGAAAGGATACTCCATAAGGAAAAAATCTGTAGTCACAACAAGTCAATAAGTATTGTTCTCATCAAAAATGACAACGAGCACCAAGTTAAGATGTAAGCAAGGAAAAAGGACGTACAATATTCAAAATAATAATGACATACTATTGACCTCGTCAGTGATGCAGTATCATGTTACAGGTTGTTAAAAATGGTGTTTATCTGTCGATTATTAGTAACATAACCCTAATGATTCTTTTCATTCTGTAGTATCGTCAAGCGAACACACAGACTATAAATAGGAGAAAAGACAAAAGATGTACTTACCTTTCCAACCGGTGAGGAACCTTATCATTGAGTTTTTTGGTACTAATTGCCTGTCTTCTGTGGCACTACGATGTTGTTGATGTACCTATTAGAGTTCGGAACCTGTTTTAGGGCGCTGTGCGCGCCAACGCCGCAGCAATCCCTCAGCCTCTAAACGCATCAACCGCGCTTCCTCATTCTTCGCATCGTCCTTATAGAGGAGTAGCAATGCTGAAAAGCCAAACAGCACAAGTGCATACGCACGTTGATTTCTTTTAAGCGACTCGTTACCTATGCACTGGCGCATGCACTTCTCTGACTCATAAAGCCAGCCCCTCGAGTCTCCCTCAGGGGTGCGTGTGGCCATTACCACAAATACCTTTGCCAAGGAAATTAGGGTATCACACTGCTGGCTCTCTACGATCTCACGCATCCCAGGAACACCCAAACAGGGGTTAGCGCGGTGGATGCGGCATAACGCCACGAGCGTCGCGCGTGCTTCACGAATACGCCGCCAAAACTCAGATGCGATGGGACTCTTAAGAGCATACTCCATGAGCAATGCAGATAGGGCATGAAGTGAGCGTGCATAGGATATGTATTCCTCGACAGTTGTGATGGCGCCCTCTAGGCGGTTGCAGTAGAATGCAGCTGAAAAAAGAACATGTGCCTGGATAGTAATTTCGGTTGATGGGCTAAAAACGTAAAGGTAGTTCAGACATGTTGCAGTTAAAGACACACAGCCGCTGAGAATAGCGCTGCGATTGACCTCACGCAATAGCACACATGAAAAGTCAATCACATCCTCTTCTGTGGGGGTCTGTGGGGATGTGGTGATCTTAACACCGTCATCATCCTCCTTAGGTGCGGGTGTAATAAGTTTGTACCGCAGACCCTCTTCCTTGGCGGATTTCAGCGTGCAAAGATACAACTCTATCGCACACCCTAACGCGTTGCCGCTATCCACCAAAATCGTAAAGTATCCCTCCTCTAAACAACGCCACCAAGCCACCAGCCCGGTGTCGTCATTTACCTCTGTGGTGACACAACCCGATTTAATACGGTAATTCTTTTTCAGTATAGGACACAGCAGCCCGTGTCCCTTGCGCATATGATTATTCAAACAATCCCGACTGCAGTACTGTGTCATCTCGCACTCGTCACAGGTGTACCCAATGGCGTACACCGGGTCCAGGCAGAGTGTACAGCGCTTGCCGTAATAGGGCTTCAGCAAAAAGCGCAACGTGTGGGTCATCTTAAGCAGCTTCCCAGCCACAGAAACAGAAACCGACCCGCTAGTCCAGCCACACGCACGGAAGCCACTGCAACTGAAGACGACGTCCTTCAGTTCATTGGGCTCGGTTAACCCCAACAGCTCCCCCTCCACCGTCTCCATGTGCACCTCCAGACGGAAGGTGGAGATCCCATCCCCGTCCTGGACCATGTCCAGTTGAGGTCGATAGGTACCCTCGATGAATACATGGCACTTGCGATCTTTCTGATGAACAGGAACGATGGGCACGCCATCGGGGATGGTTTGGTTCGCAACCACTTCCCCAGTCCGCTTCATCCCACGTGCCGCGGTGCTAGTAAGGGACGGGGTTGGTGAAAAGATTTTAGCCTCACCTTTCACAAAGCACACATCATTTCCAACATTCATGCGAATTAGGACATGCCACTGACTGAATTCAACAATTGAGCAAACTGGGTGCGCAGGGGCTTCGGGTGAAGCTGACGCGGTGGTACATTTTGGAGATTTTTGGTCAGTTTTAGGTACCACGTCAGGAAAGATATTCGAAAAGTGCATCGTGTATAGGCCAGAATGGCCCTCTCGACTTACCTCCATTTCGTAAAATGCAAAGAACAAATCTAATAATGATAACCCCTTTTTTTATCCTTTTATTCGCTTTTGCAAATTCAATTCACTTTCAGTTATTTTTAAGATGGGGATAAAAGTCAATAGCCATAAGACGCATTAAATAAGACGCAAGGCTCCATAATGTTATTAGAGCAAAAATAAAGAATATTCTTCCCGAATGGGCTTCTATAGAGTACTTTTATTTTTTATAGATAATAATAAAAAATACGTTATCTCTTACTTAGCCATCCAAGTTGTCGGGATTTTTATTTTTTACAGAAAAATGATTAATCGTGTTTAAATGAATTAAAAAAAAAAGGAAATGAAACTACAAAAAGTTTTGTACAAACTGATGCACGCAGTACCACCATCCATGCAGCTGCATCTATTCCTCCTGGTGCTTATTTTTGACCTCAAAACCAATTGCTGTTGTGAAGAATTTCACGTAAGCATATCGTTGCATAGCTAGATGACGGTAAGCTAAAGGACACCACTGCATCCACACTCTCAGGATCTAAAACTTCAAAAGATGGTGGCTGCTCAATTATTTCAAGCTGTGCGTCCTGAGGTACGACGATCAGCTGCCTCCAAGAGCCAGGCACAGGAACCCCTGCAACCTTTGATTGACCGAAGATAACTTCCCGAGGGAGTGCCAGAACCTCCAGAGCATGTCTTTCGACCTCTGCCAACCACAAAGATTGATCTTCCACTTGTGGAGAGCTGCTCCGCGTCGAATCGTTCCTTCCTTCCCTGGTGTGGTACCCCCCAAGCGGCAGCTTCAAATCCTGTGCGGCACGCATATTAAAACCGCTAGCGTCGTTGCTATAAGATACACAATTTTTTTCGTGATGCTTTGATTGGATATTGCGAAAATGGCCAGCAACATAGGAAGCGGCAATATTAAAGTACAGACTCTGCGCCGCGTGAATCCACATGGAACGATGCGCAAATGGGACGGATTCTGTAATGGCCTTCTGACAGATAAGACACCAGAGTGCGCTCTTTTCTTGTACATCCGCGCGCGTTAGGGGATGTTCCGAGAAATACATCCGATAGGTTCGGTGGAGTGCATTGGTCATGATCTGTGCATCCCTAGCATTCTTCGGCACGTGGCGCGCCTCCATCAGGTCGGGAAACGCTTCGTGTATCTGTGGGCAAGCCCGATAGATGCTCTTTACCGCCTCTGGCCACCGCCCCGCGAACAAATGTAGCCCTGTGTGATCCTGAATATCAGTAATTGACTCACTAAAGCGTTGTTGTCCGAAATAATTAACGAACCCGTTCATATGGACACACTGAAAGCGTTCCTGAAGAGTACGTATGGTGAGGTCTCGAATACTCTGTAGGCCGTTCTTTGGTCCAAGTACATTCACCTCTTGAACATCATGCAGGATTTTTACCTGTCGTAAGCGAATTACAAAGTAATTTCCACGAAGATGTCCAATTTGGAGCGGTGAAGAATAGGGCTCCGACGCGATGTTGTGAATCCGTGCGTAGCTCCGCTGCGGGTCGCTCAACCACGGAAGCACCATTCTTTGTGGGGGGAACTCTTTTTCACGAAGCAAAAGAAGATCAGGGTACCAACCCGGTACTGATACGCGTTGGTACGTGATGGCCTTCTTGTCCTTGAGACCTGCAGTGCAAACACAGGATGGTGAGACAGAAAAGTATTCCGCGACCAATTGCTTCATCTCCATCACATCGAGATTGCGTTTAAAAACAATCAAATAGGTGTACGCCTTCCAAGTGGTATTGTGTCCATTGGAGCTATGCAATACTTCGCCATTAAATATCTGCTGACTGGATCCTCTCTCATCAAGTTTGCCGGCCTCGTCGGAAACTGATAATCGGGGTCGCTTCCGCGAATTTGGTTGCTGATTCACGAGCCTTTTAAGGGTAAGCTTACCATCCGATACGTGACATTTAACAAATGGATAAAATCTTCGGAGGTGGTCGTGAAATAATCGACGAAGATCCTTTTCCGATATGCAATCCACCTGATTCGCGCTACGGCTCCTGTCGTCAGCCAGTGGAAAGAGAGAACTCCGAAAGTGCGTCTGAAAAGAAGTCCCCACATGAATACGGGACAAAGATGACGAAACAGTCGAGGTAAGAGAGGACTGTGCTTCTTGTTTAATACAAAGGTACTGTTCTATCGCCTGCCACTCCGTTTGTATATCAGGGGTCTCTAAATTGAGAAGGTCTTGTTGATGTAGCCGAGACCATTCTATCAGCGTTTCAGATACTTTACGGCCAAATAAGAAGGTTAAAAATATGTAATGAGGATCAATACCCACCAAGAGATGTGCAGCCTGCAAATCACTGTCCTCACTTTCCCGCTCAACGTCAACTTTGCTCGGCGCATCCCCTAACGATGATACAGTAGGGATATCGGAAACAGACAAAATTCGAGAGCGGACGTGTGGAAAACACGAGCGGATATAATTGTAGAAAAGACGACGTTGTATTTTATCTAAAGAATGGGACCCTGGTATCCTCAACACCCACTCCTTCTCCCACCAGTGTACTCTCAAGTTTGGGCGTCCTGTCTTGATATGCTCAATTAAAAAGGGCAATTCCTCAGCGGTCAAGTGCTCAGCACGGTCTGTTATCATCAAAGCCTCGCAATGATCTCTCTGAATAAATACCTCAAGCTCTCGAAGGATAAAAATAATGCGACCTGACAGCGAAAAATGTGACGGGGCTGCCTCATCGAAGCCGATACCATCATAGTTAGTGTGCTGAAATTGGCTCTCAATGAACCGCTTCTCAGCCTCTTCGTCGTCATTGATCCCTGATCGAACAAAGGTACCCCTGTCTTCCCTAATGTCAGTGCGGCCACCGGCACCATCTGTTGTCAATGAATTGAAGAAGTGATAATTTTCATCATTAGTGCGCTGTCCTTTAGGATCAATTTCCACAACAATGAAGTCCTCCGGTTCAGCCTTGAGCTTTGCCGTGAGTGAAATATTAACTGGGGAAACACCTTCCGAACGCTCACTAGAATACAGGTCAGTCCAGAAGCATTGAATGCCACAGGCACTCAACATTGCTTGAATATGCCTTTTCTACCTCTCACCTTGCTATGCGTATGATGTTGTTATTTTTAATCTTGTATATGCGACGCTGGCTGAAAAAGTGGACTTATCATGATAAAATATAAACACAAAAAAAATATGAGTAAGCAACATTTTAAAATTTTTAGAAAGAGTTTAAATGTTTTCAACAGGCAAAAAACGGTGAATTACGAATTTTACGATATTAGTCAACTTTAGAACCGTGTTTGGATAATGACAACTGTAAATAATCCATTAGAAATAAAACAGGCCTCAAAAATAAGCGAATAATGCAAGTATATTTAAAAAAATATATATATATATATACTATTGTTTAGAAATATGGAATTGATACTAACTCCTTTAATTTTCATTGTTTTTTTGTTGATAAGGACAAATTTTTTCACTAATCAAAAGGAAAAGAGAACCTTGTATAATGCACGCATTATAAACACATCAGCTTTCCTTGCACCACAGCTAATATTTTTTATTGATAATATTCATAATGTGAAAAAATGCAGAACAAGTATTGACTTTAGTCTGTCCCTCACCCTTTTAAAGAGAAAATGAAAAAATAAAAGGTATATCATGAAAATAACAAGCTGATGCTAGCATATTCAACCCAGTGAGACAAAAAAGTAAAATATTAAAAACAAAGAAAGGCGACAATCAATATCAAACATATAATCTATGGATACTGCGCATGTTTTTATTTTGTCGTGTTCACACAGTATTAGAATTCTTACTGAACCTATCTCTTGCTTTTAATAGTTGCATTGAACAATACGTCAACATGTGGTTAAGACCACGCATGTAATGAATTGGATGATGATGAAAAATACTCTCAGGCAAAAAAATCAACTGCGAACGCCATGTATCATTATCCTCTACTTCAAAGCAATCATGGGGAAAGCTATCTGATATATTTAGAAACTCTCCTGGTACAGCAAACGTCGGTAGCATCCGGTCTAGTGAATCGCAGTTCCTGTTGATAGACTTTCGGGATGTATATTTTTTTCCGGTCACTTGTTCAACTCTAGTACATTGCGTAGACAACAATGAATGTTGTTTAGTCAGTATTTTGTGAATGGAACGTGGATGCAGCCTCGATATCAAATCCTTTCCGTAGCAAAAGTTAATAAGGCGGCTCCCCACACGCTCCCTCTCACGAACTAGATGGGAATTCAGAATTCGCAATATCTTCTTCTCTATGAGAGGTGGTGCGCCAAAAGTAAGTGTCTGCACATTTGTGAAAGACACTGCATGAGGAGTCGATACAGCCTTGGGCTTAAAGCAGTAGAATAAATAAAAAAGCACGGCTACGGCACCTCCAAAGGAGTGTCCGGTAACGATAAGTTGGTAGTTTGGATAATAAGTATGTATAATACGCAACGCAGGCAGCACACTATGTGCCGCCTCTCTGGCGGCTCGATAAAATCCCAGCGGAATCCGAGTAAGAAGGCTTTCTCCCTCGCACTGAGCCTCTGTGATCTCTTTGAGTGACACACCAGACCTATTATCTACACTTACCTTTCTGGATTGTTTCCACTCCAATGCGATCAAGTCCGCTGATTGACCACACAACACATTTTCACCAAACTCAGGACTCACACATCCCACTGCCTCTGGTTGGGAAAGATCCACTTCCTTGTAGCCGTCCATCATGCATGTAGTAATATCTGACAACGTCAACAAGCCACGAAAAGTCAGCACCACACGTCGTTTCGAATGATCCAACACAATCGCATAACTGGGATGACCAATGCGAGTTGAGAAGCGACTCCTTGCAAACTCCATATGGTGATCCACTTCCTCACCTTGTAGCATGCGTCTCATGGATTCAATTTGCTCGTCGGAAGTGGCACATGCGTAACGGCTGTGCGGGCTAGCGTGTAACTTGACAATGTCACTAGGTGAATTGAAGTAACCCAATTCATATGGAAGGCCATAAGCCGCGACGGCAAACCGCACCGCGTACGCAGACAAATCAAGCCGGTTCACTTGAGTCTGAAAGTGTCCTAGTGCAGCCTCGGAGAGGGGTTGGCCCCGCAAAAGCATCTTACTGCTCTGCCGTTTTTGTCGGATCCATGCTTCATACGCGATCGCGTGGGATCCTGATACATCTACGGTATTCTTAATGCCTCTGATAAGGGAATTATACGTCAGGTCAAATCGTTTGAGCTGGGCTTGCACCTCACGAATGAAATATCGGGACAACGAGACCACTGAAGGGGAGCTGAGAACTTCAACAAGAAAAGGGTCTAAGTAGCGTAACTCAGCCACATCAGTATCGTTCATGATGGTATTAGCAATGTCCGTAGATACTGCTCGCATGTCATGTTCCCTATCAATCGCTTTGTCCTCTTCGTCAAGGTTTCCCCGCTTCGTCACTTCGTTAGTAGCCCCAGCATCCGCAAGTGAAACTTTTTGAAATGATTTATTAAGCAAGGTTTTAGTCAAAGTCTCCTTGGGTACAATTGATGAGACCGCGGACGCAATGCTATCAATTAAACTATTCGTTGCTTCACGACATATTTGAATCCCCTCAAGATCCTCACTTCCTCCACAAGTCACAGACTCACTGGTCACCTCGTTTCGGTCAGCTTCATGGTATTTTTTCATATTTACAAACCCATCACAAATATCACAACGGTAGCACGTCGGTCGATTAGGAATAATGTTGGGATGGATCATAATGGATGCCATCCGTTTACGCCAGATCTTCCGCAATGACGGTCGATGTCGGTTCTGAACAGTTAGCTGTGGAGACATATTTCCAGTAATATCGGCCAACCTTTCAGGTCCTTGGTTACCACCTACGGTTGATGATTTCACATTGGTGCAAGGTGCCTTCTCCATAGGGAGCACGACGGTGGTGTTCGTCGGAGCGTCTGAAAGCAGTGAAAACACAGAGGATGCCAATGGATGACTACCGCCGCTAGATGGCAACTTATCGTATGGCGATAAATGTGAATAGCATAGGGTGTAAAGAGGATAACGGCAGCGGCATATTGGATAGGGATCGCCAGGTCTCGGTACGCGGTGCTGAACGGTAAAGGCGTACAGTGGTTGCACCCATTCACATAGTTTCTGCGACAAACGTGCCGGAAGAAGCTCAGTGCCAGTGCTGCAGGTCATGCGAATGTGTCGCAGCATTATCCTATCTTTGACGTATAGGTTAGGCTGCAAATACTACAATAATAATACCACTTCTTCTTCGTGTGGAATGGGGGGAGGAAGTGGGAACGTCGCTCAAGTGACAAGTAATCACACTTTCTTGGCCTGAGTAACTTGGTCCTATGCTTTCCTTATGCCTCTCCCACTTCTTATGTAACGATGCTTTGTGTGTAGCTCGTTACCATAGCAAAAAGGGGTAGTATATAGGGAATGCTGCGTTCGTGCCAGGGTAATTATTTTAGCGACCCTAGTAAAATAATGAAAGAGTGCGAAAAGGAGCATAATTAAGTCATTATAAGCTATATTTTAAAATACATGAACCTAACAATATCAAACATGTATAATATTATTTGAGACGGATACACAAGTGCTGTACGGTCTAACCATAAATTTCATAGAACAAGTCACACAGTACAGAAAATTTGGATACATGTATAAACGCTTCAAAAAATAGGATGTCTCCAAAACCTATGTTAAACAAAAAGCTATTCAAAAAAAAAAACTAATCATTATGAAAGAACCTTCCATACACAACCCACAAGTATTTTCAACTAAACATTCTAGAAAGTTTTGAATCCTAATACCTTCAACTCGTGCATCCAACGTTCTTTGATCTTTCTCACATGACTCAGGCGTGGTAGCAAATGGAATTGCCTCCCCTCTGACGTCCAGCCTATTCTTTGATAAAGATAGTACAGTCAACAAAGGTTTTCACACCCTTAAAAAATGAGATGGTAAATTCATAATATAGTCACCTACCCTTTATCGCAGGAAATGAAAGTACACGCACATGCACACACACGCAAAACGTAACGTCAGCCTATATTTTGATCTACTACTATTATTAGTATTCGTTTTTGTTGATAAAAAAAAGAGATAAGAAGAAAGTAGAATTTGCTATAACTAAAAATACAAGGCTCGAAAATACATTTGTTCCAAAATGCCATAATAATTATTGCGCATAGATCTTAAAAAGGAAGATATGTGATGAAAGCAGACTTGTTTAACAATTCTCGCAAATAAACAAGCGCATATGTATGAATTTCATATCAAAAATTCTGAGCTGTCGTTAGATACTAGCTTCGCATTCGATGATCGATTAGTCCTGCCCTTTTTAAAAGAATGCATGGTCTCGACGGCACCTTTCTTTCTCTGCCGCACTTCTTTATCAGTCAGTTCTAGCACCTCTCCATCAGGGGAAGCCACATGAACACCAAAGTTGTTTTTGGTTGACTTTGAAGCCAACCTTTGTGATTCAGATTTTGCTATATCCTCACTCCATGGAGTAGTATCGCCGCCAGGTGTTTCTGTGAATCCAAACCTCATTGCATCCCTCCCTGGTTGTGGTAAATCGATAGAGACATCATTTTCATCTTGAATGGTAAATAATTCAGGGCTGTTAATTCGTCCATAGTCTTGAAGCGCTGCAGCTTTCGAAGCTGCTCTGGTGGAAGACCTTCGAGAACTGGTCCCACTGAATATCTTTTTGTCAGAGAAAGACTTACTCCCAACCCCTCCACCACTTTGGGAAAGCTCCGTCAGCAATCCTATATCCTTCAAATCCTCCTTGAATTTACTGTCTCCCAGAACCGTGCGGAAGTTGTCCCGCACATAGTTACAAAGGTTGGGAAGAATCATGTGGGACCAGGAATCTACCACTGCCACCCACCCCTGCAGCAAATCCTCTTCATTGGGGAGATCCGGTGTGATCATACGGCGCAGCTTGTGTAACGCAATAAGTACTTCTATGGCGGCACTGCCCTCTGTAGTGGCGTAACCCTTTTGGAGTTGTGACGCGTTAGCGTTCGCTAACACAGCCAGCATTGCCCATTGTCGCATGCTCAGCTTAACCGGTGGATCAAACATGGTCAATGTGGTAATGACAAGGTACAACTGAAGCCCAATAAAGCCATTGGGATTCGCCCTGGTCGCGGAGGACTTGGGAAGAGCGCCCTGGGTTGCCAAGTTGGAAAGGACGCAGGTGGAGATTTGAATGAATGCGTCCTTTAGTTTCACATCACAAAGAGGACGTGTAATGCCGGAGTGAACCGCATCAACCCCCCGCTTATGGTGCTGCACAGTCTGCGAATGTGTAGTAGGGTCTAGGTTTTCCCTAGGGCTTGTTTCCTTCCTGTTTTTCGAATTTTCTTGTTGTTTTTCAGCACCTATGTGCAAAAGGTGAATTACCGCTGAAGTCATAGAAATAAACTGAATATCTTGCAAGCGATGCGGCCACCCATCTGGCTTTGGTAAGTGAACATTGTCAGTGTGAATGACTGTATTTGTGTTGCTATCGCCTTTTGGGGGCGCTTCTCGCGCGCTCATCTCTTTCAATAGAACACCGTAACTTGCCATTATAAGTGATGTATGGTTAAAATTTAATGCCCGCAACGAACTCAACGTGCTGGCAAGCTCTTGTGGCTTAAATGAAGACAATATCGAAACTGCTTGGTCGCAAAATGGTCCACTGATGTCTTGGTACCTTGCAACGCGCAGCTTAACAAAGCTGTAAAGCAACAAGGTAATATCGCGCGGTGTGACCTGACTAGCGGATATCTTCAATCGAGCTAGCACTTGCTGAACCACCCGGATCACTCCTTTTAAAACAAAGGTAAGGGTATACAGGACCTCACAGAGGTCGTGTACTGACGCCCGCGCGCGGCTGACGGGCGAGACTGCGTTGAGCAAATGTTCGGTTGTGGAGGAAAAAAAATCGATGTCGCGGAAACCCAAAAGCACTAAACTATGCATGAAACGCACCAAGTCATCAGGCTCAATCGCGCTGCGCTGCGATTGAATAAACCTCACGATTCCGGTCACAAGGTCGCTGCTCCTTGTCTGTGTACGGGTCATGGCCTCCAGAAGTTTCCTCAGAGCCCGCACCGTGAGCTGGTGGGTCCACTTTTTGTGTGATGTGATAAGCTGGAAGATATTTGGCAGTAACTCCGTTCGTGCGTTAGGATGCATAGAAAGCAGTGCCGCAATCTCAATCTGCATTCGACTTGGGATGTTGGCTATCACTACCGAAAATACAGGCAAGTATTGATTCAGAACCTCATGGCCACCATAAGACTTAAGAGTGACGAGAACAGAGATAAGCAGGAGCAGTTGCTCGGAATTCTCACTAGCTGATATATCCTTCACGCGACTGATGTGCTCAATTAATGTTTTGTAAAAAATAGAGGGTGGCTCAGTGCCAACGGGAAGGTGATGCAACGTATTGTGCGCAATAGAAAGAAAGCGGTAGCGGCACATGTCTGGAAAGGGTGTCTGTGCAAGAAAATCTAACATGAAACTTATACGATTTGCAGTATTGACACGGAATAGATGCGAATCTTGGAAATCAAGCAAAACACGAATACACTGAGATAAACAGTGGAATTCAGATGTACTAAGTATCGTCGACGACAGTATTGCTTTGCTTTTAGATGACGAGAGGTCCTGTGAAATCGTATCTTGGCCGAGCTTATCGGTGAAATAGAGCTGCTCTAGACGACAGATCGCTGCTTCAATCATGTCAGGATGCATCACGCCCTTCAACTCACACCGCTGAATGAGTTCCAGCAACTCTTGAGCGCCAACCTCACTGAAGGTGCGAGAAGCCGTATCAACGAAGCTTTCCGGTACAATGGAGTAATCATAGTTACTCCCTTTCCGTTCAAGCACGTTGCCAAGTGGTTGTGTTTTTTTTTTTTCTGAGCATGCATTTTGGTACCATAGTCGCGTTCGCCGTTATTCCCACTGATTGCCCGAACCTTTGCTGCTGCAACCGCCAGTCCGGTATTGAACCCATCAGTGTATTGCCCTGAACACGATGATAGCAATGATACGACCGGCTGCCCTAGCTCCTTGTAGTACGTGATCAGCCGCTGCAATAACTCAGCAGGCATGAAAGAAGAAACCTGGCGAGCAATATAGCTCTCTGCCGCTACGAAAAAATCTGGGTAGTAGGTCATCCCTTCTAGATAAAAGAGCTCGATGATTCGAAACAGCTCCTTACCGTCAAAGCTATCAAGAAAGCGAACACAGTGCTCAGCTACCAAACTCCACACCTCCTCCTGGTGCACATCGGCCTTTTGAAGAGACTCCATAAGCAAAATGATGTTTGAACCGCCCTTTACCACACCACTCTCACAGTCTGAAAAAGTGTTTGCCGCCATGCTTACCGAAGTGGCTGAGGTTGGACATGATGAAGTCGGATCAAATCGAACGGGGTCGCTCTCTGGTCCACTTCTAAGCGCAGAAGCCAATAAAACAATAGCAGGGCCTGACGAATCATGTTGGCCAAGAGCGCACGATGCTGCGAGAGTCTTGGAAAGGTAAAAACTATTCAAAGTGGGCAGGCAAAACCGCACCAGCTGCATCGCATCAGTTGTAACCTTGGATTTACCAAGCTCAAAATAGGCCAGACATTCGAGAAGCTGGCAAAGCGAGGAAGGGTCGGGCACGCAGGATTTGTCAATGCAACGCTCTTTCTTTGGTCTCACAGGTGTTGGTTGCTGCTTTGTACGGATCTTAAGGTCCTCAAGCGCCGGTTTGAGATTCAACCTGCATAATTTATCCTTGAGAATGAGTCCGAGGGAATGGTCAGGCATGATCGCATGAAGTCGCTTCAAGTGAAAAATGTCATGAATCGCACGACTAAGCATTTAGAATTCCTATGTAAAAATTCCACGCACAATATCAATGTTAACAGAATAGACCCCTATGTAGTATACTACTATCATATTAAATGTGTCTAGGTTAGTTTGTGAGAGAAAAGGAGTATTCAACAACCATGTATATTTTTACCTTTAAATGGAATTTTTATTTAAAAAAAAACACTAGAATCGAAGAATAGAAAACACGAGTACAACACAAATGAATAATACTACCAAAGTATTACCATACACACACCACTCAGTATTGAAAATTGAGGCTCTTGTACTTTTATCCTGTTCATCACTCAAATATATAAAACTTCATTAGTAGACGAAGCCAAGGATGACATGTTCAAAACTTTTTTTTCCTACTTAACAGAACTAAGCTGCATAGAATAATAGAACTAACGTCAAAAGGGTTTACTTCTTGATCATAACCAACGATCTCAAATGACACCAAACGGCTATGTATAAATTCTAATAATAGATGTTTACGTACATATAAGCTCATGAATGCGTCGTGTTTATATTTCTTTTTTGTATCTCATATTTCTCAATACTTTGAAAATTATATGAGCGAAAGAAGCATTTTATACAAGCCGGATCCACTTGTGAAGGATTAAAGACATTAAACCTATCATCTAAGAACGTAAAAAATGCTTATAAAAATCACTGATACCTTGGGAACCTGAACCCTTTTACAACTTACCACATTCCTCTTTTCACATAGCTCTTCCCCTATGTCAAACAGTGAGAAAAACAGAATGTTTATTTCGTTATTGTTATTATTCTTCGATAATTGCTGTCATTTTTACACGCATAAAACTCGCAGAACTAAAAATAAATCTGAAATTGACAAAAAAAAATGATAGTACATAGCCCCACATCAGGCATTCGTTTAAGGAATACATAAATATATATAAATAAATATATATATATATATGTATACACATATATCATCAAATCTAAGAGTATCTAAGTATCTAACAAGAATATCAAATCATATTTAACGGGTGGATCTCAATCAAAAAAAAAGGTTTTGATGTATTTTCCATCCATGGGTCTACCGTCTTAATCAGTGTGTAGGCAGTTGATTGGGCATCATAAGCTTAGATACCTCGCCATGACGGGTGCTGTTGTATTTCCGCCGTACAGCCTGATATTTCGTAGTAGGAACGTAGCTTACAAACTCGAGGATCACTTCTGCGCAACCAGAGAAGTCGCTTAGCTCGGACTTGGTGTAATCCTGCAATGACAGACTCCACAAACGTCTGCCACCACCACTGATATTTTCCATCCCTGCACTATACTTCATGTAAATGGTGACTAATGCGAGAAAGACTGCTGCGTTTCCGATCTGTGATGGTGTAAACTGCAGACACTTGTAGTCCAGTAGCGCGTGTTCCAAAAAAAATCCCGTTGCATGACGAAGCAAGCTAAATTGTTGATGGCGAGTATCCTCGTCAGAATTAAGGCCCAAAAAATCCTCCTCCTTCAACAACGTCAGCACCCGTGATACAAATGGATAGGGTGTGGGAACAGTTAGACGAAACGAAAGCGCCGCACAAATATTACGCTCCATCTTGATGATCTCCTCACGCGTGAAAGTGTTGGCGCTGATATGGACGCACTCCTTCAGCTCCGGAGGCCAGATCTCCTCGTACTTTGCGGCCAACAACATCGCACAGACGCCCACAAGCTGCAGCTGGGAGCGCGGTACGTATAGCATCGCGTTGTACTTTGTGTTGATGCAGGACAAGTAACGATCAATCAGGTTAACAGTCAAATACATTGTTTCAGGATGCAGCTTGAACTTAAGATGTACATCAATCAGCCAGTCAATGAGAATCATACGCATCTTCTCATTGACCTCTGGCTGGTACTGTAAACAGTGCGGTGATGCATAATAGGCATACAGTTGGCTTGCATTGTTTATTTGAGCAGCGGTACCCTCGTTAAAGCGGCGAACAGCCTGCTGCTCACGTTCTAAAAACATTTCTGTGATGTCGTCAATCAACTCCGTGCAGTAAATTGGATCCCGCGCATGGCGCACGTCGGCACGGAAATGAAAAGACGGAGGAGATGCCACTGACTGTGTGACCTCGGTTGCGGAGTTTCCATCTAACGCATGGAAGTGTGCACGCGACGGGCATACGCGTGATGGCGCGCCAGAGCGCTGTAGGCTGCGATAGGTTCCTAAATTAAGGATACCTGTGGATATAAGACGGGTTGCCTGTCTTTGCTTCACATCTATAGATGTCTGGTTCGTTAGATTTGATACTTCTCGCAGAGCAGACATTTTAAGTTGAGTTATGTCTTTTTCTGTAGCGTATTATATATATATATATATATATAGATATATATATATATATATTAGTTAC